TCACCTCACCTCACCTCACCTCACCTCACCTCACCTCACCTCACCTCACCTCACCTCGCCTCACCTGCCAACCTACTCTTCCGAAGATATACAGCTCCACCACCTCGGCCAACAGATCGCTGAAAACCTCGTTGAGACCTGCAGACCACGCCCCTCCACCACTAAGCTCCGCCCCCTCCGCCACGACAAGATGTCCGTACACGTGAGGAGCGACTTTGAGAGCGGAAGGGAAAGGGAAATAACTGTTGTCAGGTGTTACGCCGCCGTCGCCGAAGAAGAGTTGTCGGGATTTTCCCGCGAAAGCCGTGGTCTCGTGTCTGCCATAGTGCACGTGAACTTTGACCGGAGGGTCAATGAGTTTCTCAAAGCGGCGGCAGTCTGACTCACAAAGAAGAAGGAATCGAGAGACGGCGAAATCCAACCGTTTATGGAGTCAAGACATGCCGGATTACAGTCGAAGATCACTGGCTTGGCTCCAATCATTCTCTGCCGCCTTCCTCCTAAGTCAAACACTTCACAGTGTGCATTCATCAAAATACACTGCCCATTTTGAGAATCTGAACGGTTCTGTTTCTGGACATCAAGGCAGAAGGGCCATCGTCCGTACAGAATTGCCCCCAAAGCAGAATTTCCTCCAATTCCGAGTGCCCGGTTGTCACATGGTTCTCCAAATAGTTGTCCTCGATTTTTTTCCTTTGTTTAGGTTGAGGATTGCTATTGTTTCCATATCGATGACGTCAGAGGACAAGCTACCAGTTTCCGTTATTTCCGTGCCTTGAAATTTCTCAGGATTCTCTTGTTCGGCGGACATAGCACGTCTTGTCTCATTCAGATAGGATGTAAATTTCAAACGGAAGTTTTGTCCCGCTTTACTTCTGAGGAAAACAAGAGGTAGGCTATACATACCGAGGCCATCCAAACTTTTAAAACGTAACAATTCCACATTCTAGGGAAAAAAGAACTGACCAAAACGTATGTTTTGTAATGTTCTTAGCAGTTTATGACTAACTATTTCAGTGCATGCGAAAAATCCGTCCAACATGTAAGATCGTATCTCACATCATTAAACTGACACGGTTTAAACAATCACAACAACAGCTGCGGATAATCTGACCTCCAACCTCTTTCGAGTATCCCCTTCTATCTCCTGGGTCAAAGCAGACACCCTCTTTTATTATATAAATCATGTCTGTAGGGTAATTACATGTTACATTCGGTTATATAAAGTCAAGAAATTGTGTGTTGAAATTTGATTTCCAAATTGATTACTGTAATCAAGACAGACAGCTTTATATCCTTGGCTTGGTTTATAGTTTCTTATAATATTATAGTTGATCTTGCCACAAGACAGCCCAGGATGATGGTATGATAGTGTAGACCTCGTGTGTGTGTGTGTGTGTGTGTGTGTGTGTGTGTGTGTGTGTGTGTGTGTGTGTG